CTTATTTTACTGAGCTATCCCCTGGCCCCTAAATTTGAGTCTTTTGTCAGTAAATGGATGTAACTAGAGAACATACTCTTTTTATTTTTTTGGTGGTACTGGGAATTGAACTCAGGACCTTGTGCCTGTTAGGCAAGCACTTATTCTACTGAGCTATCTCCCCAGTCCCCCAATATTTAAAATAAGCAATGAAGATTATATGACATCCCTACTACCATCTTCCACAATTTTCTTACCAAATAGTAGTACCTGGGTACCACATACCTCCCCACCCCTTAACCAACACATGCACATTTCAACAAAGTCAGCCTGGCAGGGTGGCACCCACCAGTAATCCTAGCACTCGGGGGAGGCTGAGGCAGGAAGACTGCCATGAGTTCAAGACAAGCCTGGGCTACATAGCGAATTCAAAGCCAGCCTGCATTATATATTGAGGCCCTGTCTGAAAAAGCAAAACAAAAACAGAACAAAACACATATGCAAAGTCAGTTGGGACCACTGGTGAAGGCTCTATCTGAACACAGAGAGACCTTTCAAAAGCAATCAAACTCAATTCTGTCAAGAATGCTAGCAATATTTAACCAAGCAGGCAAGCACAGCTATGCCAGTGCAGAGAGACAAATTCCTGAATGATAATCAGAAGAACTGACTCAGACTGACATCTTGTGTGCAGATGTCTCTTGGCAAAGCATTTCCTGGCTCCCATCCAGAAGCAGCTGTAATATATTCAGTACCCAGTTGAACTTAAGATACATAAAATAGTTCTAAAGAAAAATTATAAAATATGCATTTATTTGAATATGTGTTACAGACAAAAATCTCTTAGCTTTAGGGTCAATGGAATATGTTTCCATGTTGGAGACTTTTCAGGAAAAATAGATAAAAGTATAAGTAAATTTGTGCTTAAAAATGTGGATGCTCATAAGGAAAGATGCTACAATCTACAATAACTTTCCTGAAGAGGTTTTCTTTAAAATGTGTCTAATCTGTCTGCTGGTAGGTTGCTAATTTCACGTCTCATACAGTCTCTGCCACACAGCTGAATGACTAACAGGAAACACATATGTCTCCAGTTTCAAATTTAAATGTATGGATGGCACAAGACAAGAGGCTTTCACGTGGTGCTCAGTTTAATTTAGCGATTCCATAAACATCTTCTTTCAATTTAAAAAATATGGTAATACAAAGCAATTCTGTTTGCTCTAATTCTGGTGCCAGATTAGGTAATTAGAATGGTGTCTAATATCCTTCCAGTAAATGTTTCTCCATAAATGCAAAATGGAATCGAGGGTCTGCGGGTTACATTAGCTTAATGAAAACAAGACTTTAATGCATATTGTTACAGCAGTGTTTGAATGCACTTATTAAGGCCCGAGTTCCCACAACCATATGGTTTTTGTCATTAATGTCTCCTTTGAGGAAAAGCACTAAAATTAGAAAAAAAAAAAAAAAAAAAAAGTTATATCTTTGATTCCAGTGATCCCAACTAAATGATATGGTAACCATATGGTGTGCAGCGGGGACAGAGGAATCTGGAAGCGTCCTTGGAAGCTTTTTAAAAAATTTTTTGGCTGCCAACTTGACCCTGGAAGAAGCCTTCCCTCCCGCCTTTTTAAAAGCACAGAAACCAGTGGTATTTGCACAGGAAATGGCATTCATATGATGAAATCTTTACAGAAAACAACCCTGTCTGAGAAAGCCAAGGATTCTAGTCGCAACCAACGTGCTCAAAATCATTTCCTTCTGAATAAGAATATATGATTGCACTGTAAACAATTCTGAGGGGAAAAGACTAATCCATCACACCTCTAACCTTAAATACACAACTGAGAAAGACTGACAAGAACATAACTGAAAATCTGGTTTCCATATAATAAAGATCAAATCCTTTGCTTTGTAAATATTCTCCAAAAAGAATATTTCATTTCATTTCATCTCTATAAGAGTAACACCAAGGAAGGTCAATGTCCCCAAATTTCAGGCTTGGGGTCCCGTCAAGGAAAACCTTGCCAGGCAGGCATTTGGATACTTACTTGAGTATTTTATGCTGATTTAAAAAAAAAAAGAAACTAAGATGAAGTTTCGTACAAGGCTCTGGTCAGCCATGGTATTTTGTATCTCTTAAATACAAAAATCTAAGAACCAGGAGGAAAGTTAAATGCCCCTTAGTAGAGAATTAAGTCACAGGCTTTTGAGAGCTGCTTCGAAAAGTCACTTTCAAAGGTAGGGACAACTGAGTTACATGATGTTGTCCAACTCAGTTACAGTAATAATATGCAATTTATTAATTATTGAAACTGTCCTACTAATTGGTTTTGAAACTGTCTCATTGCTATTTGTTTCTCAATAAAATTATTAAAATAAATAAATTTTTTAAAAAGGTAGGGACAAATGGATCTTTCCCATTGATCAATGTACTTAGCCCATAGAGAACTGCCTAGGGCCAGGCAACATGCTTACCCAAATCATTTGCTTTCTTCCAAAACTACCAATTCCTTCAGCTGATCTCAATAAGTGAACTACCCACTACCCTGAGGGAGAGAAGCCTCTTTCGTGAACTTTGGTCCTTGTTTTACTGAAGACAGGCACCCACTGAGAGATGCACAGAACCAAGACTCAAAGGCTTCGTCCAGCCCCAGCTCAGTCAGCACTCAGCAGGGCAGCCCTTGCCCAGGCCCTCGCTTCCAATTTCTTCATTGGCAAAACAGAATGAGGGTCTGATTTTTCTGCTCAGTTACAGTCTTGCAAAGATAAAATTAGAAGAAAAACAAACTCTAAACAGCTCAACCCATCTTTTGTTCATTTGCAAAAACCAGTAAGATGTAAAACACAACTTACATTTCAAACAGCTTTGAAATCTTTATTCACAGCAATGTCTACACACTCCTTTAAACTCTTCTCCAAAGCCTACTATCTTACCTTCTTTAAAATACTCTTCTTGTAATTTTAGAATTACTTGGGAAACAATCATAAATATCTATTCAGATAGCTTTCATTCATTCAATTAAGTCTCAGCCCTTCAGTTCTGACCCCCCTCCTACTAACAAACAGTTATGACTTAGCAACAATCTGGCCTGAAATTCTTTCCAGCCCACTGAACTGTGCAATACCTTCAAAAATGGGATGACAAAAGGTCGCAGTGGGAAGTTAGTAGCTTCTTGGAGTTTGGAATGAAATTCTTCAATTGTCAAAGTAGAGTTCTGTGAAGAAAATATGTATTATGCATTCAGTATTCTCTGGGTAAATAGTAAACATCCCGAAACTAATAAATTACTAATACTGGTAGGACGCTGCATAAAGACAAGCAGACACACGTACGAGGAGCATTTTCAACATAAAGAATTTCTGACTTTGTAAAACAAGATCACATATAATGGTTTACTGTTCCCCATTTCTAAAATTTGCATCTGAGCCCCAGGCCCGGGGAGCGCTGAAATGGCGACCAAGACTGGGTATGGTGGTGCGCGCCTGTAATTCCAGCGCTTGGGATCATTACAAGTCTGATCTGTGTAGTGGGACCCTGTAGACCCTGTACTAAATACATCAAAAAATAAATAAAATTTGCATCTGAAAGTAAAACATATTAAATATGGTACTTGCAGAATAATGCATGCGGCCAGTAGCAGTTTGGTGAAGAAGCCCCAGCAATGTAAAGCGTTCTAAATGTTACCCTTATGGAAAATATATACACTGTGGGACGTTGAAATGCAAACAGATGGCCTGAAAGGCCAAAGCCCAGTGTCACAGGTCCTTCCTCCATGCACTGGGGCTACTGCTGTGGGACACGGTACACTTGGCGCCTCCTCTACTCGCACCCTGCACTCTGCGCCTTCACGAGCGTCTGCTCGGGGGCCTCAGCCAAGCTGGGCAGTGTGCTATGCTCGGCCCCGGTCCCTTCTGAGTCACTGAGTTTTATAGATGGGGAAAAGATAAGAAAAAGAAAAACACTCCTAGTTCTCAAAGACGGTTGATTTGGCCCAGAGGCAACATGCACTGCTTAGCTCACAACAGCCTGTACAAAATGACCTGAACTCACCCTAAATCCATCCCATAGAAAAAAACGAGTCCTAGATACTCAGGATTTGAATCCCGCCATGGCCAAAATGTGTTGACAAAAGCGCCCACTTAAGTGACCTATTGTAACAGGCACTGAATAACTACACTTTTGATTCACTGTTTCTTAGTCAGAACCACCACTGTAACTTCAGGGTCTAAGGCTTCACTCCATGCAGTAATTCTGCTATCAGACAAAAATCTGGGTTTCCATGACTGAATATCATGAAAATATTGGTCACCCGTGCTGTGTAGTTTGATTTCCTATGACAAGGAAGGAGAAGTTTTCAGCTTTTATACCCCGACCTCAGAACACCTCAGGAACTATGGATAAATGCCAACCTCCCATCACTGACAGTACAGGTCAGGGAGCAAATCTGTTTTAGCTATCATTTTGTTTTGATGACTCATTTTCTAAAGGACAGCATTTCTTAAACTTTTTTTGAGACAGGGTCCTGCTAGGTAGTGCAGGCCGGCTTTGACTTCACTGTGTGGCCCAGGCTGACCTCAAATTTGTGGTAATCCTCCTGCCTCAACCTCCTGGGTGCTGGGATTAGGTGCTTGCCACCTTGCCTGGCCCTACCATTTTTCTTAATGCCATCTAAAAAATATCATAATGTGCTTTAGCAGGACTTCATTACTTAACATCTGTATATGTCAGTTTGCCACATGTAAAATCATATTAAAAATCATGTCTTCAAAGGACAATATTTAAAATCCTAGATTTGAGCCAGGTATATAGCTCAGCAGCATAAGCACTTGTCTGGCAATTGTTAAGGTGCCAAGTTCAATCTCCAGTACCAAAAAAAAATTAAATCCTAAGATTTAAAATGGCCTGGGCCAGGGAGATAGCTCAGCCATCTATGGGCCTGCCTGGCAAGTGCAAGGACGTGGGTTCAATCCCCAGCACCAGATGACATGTAGGCCCCGGGCCAAGCCGGCCACCGAAACCATGAGCAGTGGCACACGCTTGTAATCCCAGCTCTGGTGAGGCTGAGACAGGAGGATCACTATGGGTACAAGCTGTGTAGTAAGAGCCCGTACCAAATAAAGGATAAAATACTACTTCACATCATCCAAAACATAATAGTAAAATAAAGTGGCCTAGAGTCAAATGCTTAAAGTAAAAGCCCGTTCTGCATGCACAGATGTGACACATGCTCGCTGGCACATGCAAGGCAGGACTAGTGACTTGCACGAACTTGATAAGCATTTTTTCAAACTGTGTCCATCAGGCGGAGCACAGGGGCACACGCCTGCAATCCACGTGCAGGAGGCAGAGGCGGGAGCCCCAAGAGCTGGAGGCCAGCCTGCAGAGCCAATTCAAGGCCAGCCTGGACTCTCTCGAAGACCCTGTCTCAAAATGACACCGAGACACTTCATCTAAAAGTGTAACAGTTAATATGTAGTGAACTCCACTGAAGTTTTTCTACATTTTAAGCTGTGGAACCACTTTTAACAAAGAACATGACATTTATAAGGTTTTTTATATAGAATATTCACCACTGGTCTTGGCAAGCGCAAGGTCCTGAGTTCAACTTCCAGTATCAATAAACAAGCAAAAAACATTCACCACTGGATACAAGCATTGCCTTAGATATATTTTGTGATTAAAAAAATAATAATCATTCAGTTCATTCATTTACTTATTTGGTACAGGGTCTCACTATGCAGCTCAGATTCTTAATGATCCTACTGTCTCAGCCTCCCCAGGCCTGGAATTACAGGCATGCCTAGCTTCAGTGCCTGGCATGGCATACCCAAGGTTTCGGGTTTAGCACAGCCATGTGGTACCGGGGATTGAACCCTAGACCTTGTACTTGTCAGGCAGGTGCTTAGACTGCCAAGCTATCTCCCCAGCCCTATTTTTTTATTTTTATG